TTTCCGAACACATCTGTCACCTGTGTGAAAATGTTTACTGCTGGGGCTGTTAGACCAATGAGGGTTTTCATTTGTGATCATACCTAATTTGCTGGTTAACTTTTAATATTGAAAGAAGTGAGCAGACAGTCCTTAATACGTTCATGCTATAGAATTTCCACTTGCCCTTTTTGAATTCATTATTTTCAGATAAAATTACTACTAGTTTATGATTTTAAAATTTTTCGAACAGTAAAGCAAGGGAGATGGAAAGTCAAAAGAAAAGTCCCATCCACCAGTGGTAGCCACCATTAGGTTTGTTGTGTGTAAAGGAACGTTTATGCACAGACAAGCACACAGGTGCTCATGTGCGTATCCTTTTTCTCTTAAAGCATGAATGGGTTCATACGATATAGTCTGTCCTGCAATTTGCTTTCCATGTCAGAACATATGGATCCATCTCATTCTGCTTCCAGGCTATTCCTTCTGCCTAGAACAGTCTTACCCCAGATATCTTTGTGGCACACTTGCTGCAGGTCTTTACTCAGATGCCACCTTCTCAGCGATGCCCTCCTTAGCTGCCTTGTCTGAAATTTCAGCCCCTCCCCCAGCACTTCCCATCCCTTTCCCTACCAGTGGCATTTTTCCTTAGCACTTATTACCTAACATACTTTTCGTTTTGTTTATTGTCTGCTCTCTCATTGTGTTAGTCATTCTGGGGGGAGGGATTTTTGACTGCTGTGTATCTCTAGTCAAAATGCTGACCCATAATACATGCTCAGTAAACATTTGTTGACTGAATGAATGAATACATTGTTTTTCACGTTTTGGTGAACCGTAATTTATTAAATAAGTCCCTGTTGATGGCCATTTAGGTTGTTTTCAGTTTTCCCCACATCATGAACAATGCTATACTGAGTAGTCTTACAGATATCTTTGTACTCTGTGTGATATCTCTAGGATAAATTCCTGGAGGGAAATTGTGAATTTAAAGGATATGCACATTTTAAATTTTTAATAATTGTCTCCCACCCTTCTAACCCCACCCCCCTCCAAAGTTTATATCAATCTACAATCCCACTAGCAGTGTGTGAGGACACCTATTTCCCTACACCCTGCCTACACTACATCTGATGGATGAAAATCTTATTTCATCTAAATTTGAATTTTCTTCATTATGAGTGAAGTCGAGCACCATTTCATTATTTTTTCACCTTTTATGTTTACTTTTCAGCTTCTCTCTTCTTTTTCCATTGTTCTGTTAGGTTGTTTTGGCTCTGTCCTTGCCAATGCGTCTTTGTTTGCTTTGGTACATTTCCTCCCTCTAGGCTGCAGCCAGAAACCCCAGAGAACAGTTACATCTGGGCCACAGCCATTCTATGTCGAGAACGTTTCTAGACCTAGTGTTAGCATCTTCACCTCTTGTTCTTGCCCACTTTTTTTATAGTGGACTTTATTTTTTCATGCAGTTTTAGGTTTACAGAAAAATTATGCAGAAAGTACAGAGAATTCCTGTATGTCCTCTCTCCCTCCTGCATGCAGTTTCTCATATCATTAACATCTTATATCTGTGTGGTACATTTGTTACATTTGGTAAACCAGTATTGGTACATTACTGTTCACCAAAGTCTTTATTTTATGCTAAGGTTCACTCTTTGTCACTTTTAATTTGCTTGTTCATTAGTAAAAACAGTCTTGTAAGCACCAGCAGATGTTAGCTATGTTCTAGGCACTGTGCTCAGCCCTTTATAGATATTGTCTCTTTAAGCCTCAGAGCAACCCTGTCAGGTATTACTAGTTTGTGTCTGTACAGGGAAACAGAGGGATGGTGAAATTAAATGACTTACCTAAAGTCACACAGCTAGTAGGTGGCAAAGCCAGTATCCGAGCCCAGGTAGGGCAGCTCCAGAACCTGCCCTCCTAACCACTAAGTCTGTCACCTCCAGTAGGAATAATGGGTTATGTTGTCCATTCTCTGTTTTCAAAGGACTCTTCTGCCAGTATGCCCCCCATTCAGGAAATTGACAACAGTTGCTGAAACAAGGGAATGGTACCCTTGTAGAGGTTTGGGAATTTCATCTTAACATATAAACGTATTACATGGTTCAAAATCAAAATAATATAAAACGGTATATGGTGAAAAGTTTCACTCCCACTCTTGCCTTACCCATTCTATTTCCCCTGCCCTCTACTTTTACTAGTTTCTGTGTATCCTTCCTGTGTTTCTTTGTGTACTTGTGAGCTAAATAAATAAACACACATAGTATTATTTCCCCCCGCCATTTTCTTACACGAAGGGTAGCGTATTATATAAGGAGCCCTGGTAGTGCAACAGTTAAATGCTCAGCTGCTAACTAATAGGTTGGCAATTCGTACCTACTCAGCTGCTGTGCAGGAGAAAGACCTGGCAGTCTGCTCCCGTAAATATTACAGCCTAGAAAACCCTATGGGACAGTTCTACTCTGACACCTGGGGTCTCTATAAGTCAAAATTGACTTGACAGCACCTAACAACAGCAGCAGCAGCATATTATATACTCTTTTTCACACTTCATGTTTTTCACTTAACTCCTCCAAAGGTTTTAAGACCATTTTGTTCTTTAGGTATTTGTCTCAATGGCAGTGGGTTTGGTTTTTTGGTTTTATACAAAGCACTATGCTGGCTTTTGGTGAATATACAAGGAAGTGTGAGTCACAGAATTATCTGTCCTCAGGGAGTTTACAGTCTATTTCTTCAGGTTGTGAACATAAACCATGGTGTTTAATGACATGGTACTTTCTTGGCTATCTCGGGCTTTGAAACAAAGCACATCCAGCCTGCTGAAGGTAGTAAACACTGACCTTGGCCTTTGGGGCCACGGTGACAGCGCTACTGAATTCTAAGTCTCTTGAATGTAAGAACTGTGTCATATTTATCTTAATATCCTCTTCAGGACCTTATGATTTGAGCAAATGAATCCTTATGTTTTAAATATAGGCCTTGAGGAAATTTATATCTTATTCATGAACCCAGAGAAAAGATTTTTAGAATCATCTTCATTTTAGGATTCATCCTCTTCTGAAGGGCCTCGTTGGTGTCCCTGGGTGGCATAAATGGTTAACACTCTTGGTTGATAACCAATAAGTTGAATTGAAATACAGTTTTAATGTGCCTAATATAGAACTGAAGGACAAGGGCTCATTTATAAAGGGTTTGTTTGGGGAGGAGGGGGTTGAAGGTCTTATTCCTTCCTCTGACTGAGGCTTTCTCCCACACTTACTCTTACCCCATGGACAGAAAATGGAAAAGAGTTTATCCCAACTACAGCACAGTATTTTAGGTCTGTGGGCAAGCTACTCTCAAATTATTTGTTTTTGGTTTTAGTTTCTATTTATTACAACTTAATTCTATTAAAAGATATCTTTGTTCAGAATACATCCAGTAGTTCTGGCAATTCGAGGAGCCACGTGTAGACAGTATAGTGTAGTGGTTAAAAGAGTAGACTCTGGAGCTGGCCTGCTGGGTTGAATTTCTGAGTCTGTCACTTTCTAGGAAACCCTGATAGCGTAGTGGTTTAAGACCTATGGCTGCTATCCAAAAGGTCAGCAGTTTGAATCCACCACACACTCCTTGGAAATTCTATGGGGCAGTTCTACTGTGTCCTATAGGGTCACTATGAGTTGGAATCTACTCAATGGCAATGGTTTTAGTTTGGTTTTTTTGGTCACTTCCTAGCTGTGACAAGTTACTAAACTACTGTTTGTTTCCACTGTCATTAAGTAGATATAAATGTTAGCGGTCTATGAATTAATTCAGTTTATTTCCCCACTGAGCTTTATAGCCAAGGACAAGATCTGAAAGAGAAAATCTAGCATCTTACATTTCTCTAGGAGTCCCTGGCTGGTACAAATGGTTAACACTCTTGGCTGCTAACCAAAATATTGGAGGTTTGAGTCCACCCAGAGGCACCTTGAAAGAAAACCTGGCGATCTACTTCAAAAAATCAGCCATTGTCTCATGAGAAACTATTTGTTCTGTAAGCCTTCACCTGAAATACAATTTAAAAAAAAAAAAAAAAAAAAAAAAGCTATTGAAAACCCTGTGGAGCACAGTTCTATTCTGACACGCATGGGGTTGCCATGAGCTGGAGTCGACTCAGGCAACTCGTTCGGTTTTTTGTTTGTTTGTTTCTCCAAGAACTTTTTGTCAAAAGTTGTAACATATTGCACATGTAATATGCACATATTACACACATATAATGCATGTGACTAGCTAAGCATCTCAGTGCTTAGTATGATGCAAGGAATATTCTTCTTTGAAAGAAGATGCATCCCAGAGGAAAAAAATGTCAGCGTTAAGGATCATACAGTTTAGCCTCATCCACAATCACCTGCCGTTCCCTAAGCCTAATGCCTTCCCAGGGATTGCTTCATCAAAACAATGAAATAATGAGTCTCTTATTGATGACACTGGGGAGCATAAACTTTATGCAGAAGCTAAACTGCATCCAAGAGCATAGGAGCTTTCAAGAAGCATAACACAGATGAAGGATGTTCTCTTATGCAAGGCTCTATAAACAAAAACTTATCACACAAATGCATTTCCATTTTTAAAATAATGGATCGTAATAGAGCATGGGTGTTCTGTTAGCCTCCTGACCTTGGCTGCCAAACTGTGCTCTGAAGGATGCTTTGTGACAGAGACCCTTTCCTTCAAAAACTTGTCACTGTTACAAGTCCAGAGTCTCTCTTTTGAGGTACATTTTTGGGCACAGGACAGGTTCTTTTTTTTTGGCCATCTTATTTGTTGTAGGAGTCCAGTGCTTGCTGTTGCATACCTGATCTGGGAGGAGAGAGAAACACCCTGTTGCTTTTTACAGGGGTGTGGAGATGGGTGGGGAACACGGCCTGTCTGATGGGCCTGTTCTCCCTCAGTACCTCTGGAGACCCTTTATGCAGAGGCTGCAGGAAAAGGGAGTTGCCTTGCTTTAGGTCTTTTGGATGTTTTCTTTACATCGTAATCATTCTGATCTTTTCTCTTAGGCTGTTTATTGAGAAACTACCAAAGCATCGAGATTACAAATCAGCTGTCATTCCTGAAAAGAAAGAGACAGTAAAGGTGAGTCTTCACTTTTCTTGTTGCCCATCTAAAAGTTTCAAAGCCGCACAGGTAAAAATAGTTGTCTCTATAGTTGAGCATCAAATTTCACATTATGTGATATATCTCTGGCTGCTTCACCTGAACCAAAACTGAAACCTGTTGCCTTCCAGTTAATTCTGATGCATTGTGACCCTATGGGGACAGAGTAGAACTGCCACATAGGGTTTCCAAGGAGCAGCTGGTGGATTCGAACATGCTGACCTTTTGGTTAGCAGCCAAGCTCTTAACCACTGCACCACCAGGGCTCCCCACTTCACCAGAGCAGTTACGGTACAGTGGAGGGTATGTTAAATCAGTTTTGGAAACATTGTTGACATTACCAACTGGACTTAAGTTAACTTTTCTACTTCATTAGCTGCTTTTGTTCTCATTCTCAGTGTTTTGTTTTGTATCTCAGAAGTTAAAGGAGATTGCATTTCCCAAAGCAGAAGAGCTGAAGGCAGAGTTGTTAAAACGATATACCAAAGAATATACAGAATACAATGAAGAAAAGGTAAGTACATGACAGCAAAGAAAAAAATTCTTTTGGTCTTTTAGGCTGTTCCCTATGATATTTTAGTAAACTGATGACCAGAAAAAAAATTAGAGGCCTTGTTTTGGGTTAAAGTTCAGGAGAGACCCCCAACATCAGGGGTATAGGCTTGGGTTGAGTTCCAGCTTACAGCCTTATTTGGGATACAGACTATATACATGGCACTGTTAGCAAATGAAACTGTATATGATGCAGGTTGTGGAGTACAGACAATAAGTTGCATTGAGAGTTCGGTAAAGAAGAAAATATATTGGTTAGAGTCATTGGAGAAGGAGACTGGGAGGACTGGGACTTTAACTGTCCTTGAAGAATAGGTACACTATGTCTAGATTCCTTGAAGAATAGGTATACTATGTCTAGACAGGAAACCCTGGTGCTGTAGTGTTTAAGAGCTCGGTTGCTAACCAAAAGGTCGGCAGTTCTACTCTGTCTTACAGGGTCGCTATGAGTCAGAATTCACTCGACGGCAGCGGGTTTTTTTAATGTCTCGGTAGGAGTGGTGACTGTACTCCATATGAGTGTAGAGGCACTGAGGGGAGCATGAATTCTGTGTTGGGAAATCAGGCTAGAGCAGAAATACACTTTGGAAATCTCCCTGCTGAAAAGCCTTGTTTTCCTAAGATGTTATGTCACCGTTAGCTAAATCCTTTCTTTCTTTGTAGAAGAAGGAAGCGGAGGAGTTTGCCCGGAGCATGGCCATCAAGCAGGAGCTTGAAAAGGAAAAGCAGAGGGTAGCACAACAGAAGCAGCAACAATTGGAACAGGAGCAATTCCATGCCTTTGAAGAGATGATCCGGAACCAGGAGCTAGAGAAGGAACGACTGAAAATTGTACAGGAGTTTGGGAAGGTGGACCCTGGCCTAGGTGGCCCACTGGTGCCTGACTTGGAAAAACCCTCCTTAGATGTGTTCCCCACCACACCTCCGTCATCCACACAGCCTTCAGACTGTAATACACGTGTAAGGCCAGCTAAGCCGCCTGTGGTGGACAGGTCTTTGAAACCTGGAACGCTGAGCAACTCAGAAAGTAGTAAGTCCATTTGGTGATGTCCTCTTCCATCTCAGTTGCAACCAAACAGAGTATCGTCCTGGGGGATTCAGCCTAAGATTACGTCCTTGATTCCATTTATTAGACTCTGGGCACAGAAACCCATTTGATGAGTATTGCTGTAATGTGTCCTATCACGCTGGCTATATTGTAATACAGAGCCAGTAGGAAAAGTGACGTTTGCTTAAGCCATGTAATTTATGTGGAGTCAGGTCAATTTTCTGAAGAGTTAATAACCTCCTTGAGAGTCAGACTCACAGCTTTTAAGAGTTACAGGGAGATTTGAAATGCTCAGTCAATTGGAGACCACTGTTAGTCTTCTAGGAAAATTTGAAATTTATAATACCACTTTGCAATTCAACCACTGACTTTTAAAAAAATAAAAAAAGGCTACTGAATTGTGCTTGCCCTGAAAGCATTCCTAATCATTAAGGAACTTAGTCAAGGTAAACACCATATGTAGTCAATGATAAATCAGCCTAGTCATAAAAGCTGTTTGCAATCTTTCCTCCTTTCACCAGTGATTGGTTATCTGAGAAAATTGCATTAGGGCAAATGATGAGTGTACCTTGATCATTGGAATAGATTTTGGGGGGGTACAAATCTACTTTGAAGTTATCATTTGAGGAAGTCAGCTTTGGCAAAGATCTGTGTAAAAGTACAATGTAAAAATGGTATGGAGGGGTGGACTCTGATGCCTGGCCTTTAGGGCTTTTCCTCATTTACTTGGCAGGCTTTTCTCCTCCTTCACACACATGCTTTGCCCTGGTCAAATTGTACTATCGTGTTCCCAGAGCATTTCCTGGAATATCTTTTCCAAGGAGGTTTGTCGACATTTTGCCCTCTACTAGAGTCTCCTTTCTCTGTCTCTGCTTTGCCTACTTTTTTGAAGTTTTTCTAGGTTCCCCTCACTTCAGTCAGATTGGTTCTATTATTCTTAACTCCCAGAGCTCTTTTTATCTCTAATGCCATTCAGCTCATTCACCTGTAGTGTAGTCATTTATCTATAGCTAGATTTTCACTTCTTGTGGGTTAGGTCTGGAGTCATATTAACATTTGTGTTCCTGCAGGCTGAGCACAGTGTCTGCTTGGTATGCTCTCAGTAAATGATTGTTGAATTGAAAGGAAAGGACTGGGCCAAACTTTAATTCAGAATCCTCAGACACCAGCATTCAGCCTGCCACGTGACTGTGTGTCTCTTGGTCTCACTTTGTTACTGCTCCAGGAATTCAGATCTTGCTGTTGAATGTGCAGGAGCAGAACATTCCTTGTCACTTTTTTTTTTTAAATTGTACTTTAGATGAAGATTTACATAGCAAACTAGTTTCTCATTAAACAATTAATACACATATTGTTTTGTGGCATTGGTTGCCAACCCCACAGCATGTCAACACTCTTCCCTTCTCAACCTTGGGTTCCCTATTACCAGCTTGCCTGTCACCTCCTGCCTTCTCGTCCTTGCCCCTGGGCTGGTGTGCCCATTTAGTCTCATTTTGTTTTATGGTCCTGTCTAATCTTAGGCTGGAGGGTGAACCTCTGGAGTGACGTCAGTATTGAGCTGTAAGGGTGTCCAGGGGCCATATTCTTGGGGTTTCTCCTAGTCTCTGTCAGACCAGTTAAGTCTGGTCTTTTTTCTTTTTTTTTTTTTTGGTGAGTTAGAATTCTATTCTACATTTTTCTCTAGCTCCGTCCGGGATCCTCTGTTGTGATCCCTGTCAGAGCAGTTGGTGGTGGTAGCTAGGCACCATCTAGTTATGCTGGACTCAGTGTGGTGGAGGCTGTGGTAGTTGTATTTGTAGTCCATTAGTCATTTGGATTAATCTTTCCCTTGTGTCTTTGATTTTCTTCATTCTCCCTTGCTCCAGATGGGGTGAGACCAGTGGAGTATCTTAGATGGCCACTCACAAGCTTTTAAGTCCCCAGACACTACTCACCAAAGTAGGATGTAGAACAGTTTCTTTGTAAACTATGTTATGCCAGTTGAGCTAGATGTTCCCCAAGACCATGGTTCCCACAAGCCCTCAGTCCAGCAGTTTGGTCGCTCAGGGAGTTTGGATGTGTCTGTGGAGCTTCCATCACCTTGCCTTGGTCAAGTCGTGCTGGCTTCGCCAGTATTGTGTACTGTCTTACCTTTCACCAAAGTTCCCATTTATCTGTTGTCTGTTTAGTGTTTTTCCCTCCCACTCCTCCCCTCCCTCATAAGCATCAAATATTGTTTCTTTTTGTGTGTAAACATTTTCATGAATTTTTACAGTAGTGGTCTCATGCAATATTTATCCTTTTGTGATTGACTTACTTCATTCAGCATAATGCCTTCCAGATTCATCCATGTTGTGAGTTGCTTTGCAGATTCATCATTGTTCTTTATCATTGTGTAGTATTCCACTGTGTGTATGTACCATAGTTTATCCATTCATCTGTTGATGGGCACCTAGGTTGTTTCCATCTTTTTGCCATTGTAAACAGCACTGCAGTGAACATGGGTGTGCATATGTCTATTCATGTGATGGCTCTTATTTCTCTAGGATATATTCCTAGGAATGGGATTGCTAGATCATATGGTATTTCTATTTCTAGCTTTTTAAGGAAACGCCATATTGTTTTCAAAAATGGTTGTACCATTTTGCATTCCCACCAGCAGTGAATAAGAGTTCCAATCTCCCTGAAGCCTCTCCAACATTTGTTATTTTCTGGTTTTTTTTGATTCATGCCAGTAATGTCAGAGTGCGATGGTATCTCATTGTGGTTTTGATTTGCATTTCTCTAATGGCTGGTAATCTCGAGCATTTCCTCATGTATCTGTTAGCTGCTTGAATGTCTTCTTTGGTGAAGTGTTTGATCATATCCTTTGCCCATTTTTTAATTGGAGCCTTTGTCCTTTTGTTGTAGAGGTGTTGGATTCTCCTGTAGATTTTAGCAATTAGGCCTTTGTCGGATTTGTCATAGCCAGATTTTTTTCCCAGTCTGTAGTTTCTCTTTTTACTCTTTTATTGAAGTCTTTTGATGAGCGTTAAGTGTTTAATTTTTAGACGATCCCAGTTATCTAGCTTATCTTCTGGGGTTTGTATATTGTTATAGTTTGTATGCTATTTATGCTGTGTACTAGGGCCTCTAGCATTGACCCTACTTTTTCTTGTATGATCTTTATAGTTTTTGGTTTTATATTTAGGTCTTTGATCCATTTTGAATTAGTTTTTGTGCATGGGTCCTGTTTCTTTTTTTTGTGGTTGGACATCCAGTTTTGCCAGCACCATTTGTTAAAGATGCCTTTTCCCCATTTGATGGACTTTGAGCCCTTGTCAAAGATCAGGTGACCGTAGGTGGATGGATTTACATCTGGGTTCTCAATTCTGTTCCATCGGTCAGTGTGTCTGTCGTTGTACCAGTACCAGGCTGTTTTGACTACCGTAACTGTATAGTAGTTTCTGAGGTCAGGGAGTGCGAGTACTCCTCCTTTATTCTTCTTCGTCAATAGTGCTTTGCTTATCCGGGGCCTCTTTCCTTGCCATATAGAGTTAATGATGAGTTTTTCCTACTTTTTTTTTTTTTTTTTTTTTAATATGAAAATGTGACTGTGAAAGACATTCCCTCTCTCAGAGTTTACCTTGCTGGCTCCCAGAGTTTCTCCATGGTGTTCAGGGACTCCATTCTTGGAATTCTAAGGCAGGTTTTATGAGCTGCTTTGTCTATTCGTGCTCCTTTTTTTTAGACCAGATTATTTTTTTTGTCATTTTGTTTTCTTGGCATTTTAACTTTCTTCTAAATGACTAAGTTCACAAGTGAATAATTACCCAAATTATTTTCCTTTATCAGTAATATATCCTGCTGTATTTCTTTGAAAGTCATCCTCTCTAATATTTTTATCTAAGATAAAAGAGAGATTGGAAATAAAATTAAAATTCAGTTGAAAGGAGAGATTATTTTTTTAATTCTCTGTATTAGATTCTGACAGAGAATTCCTGAATTATCTCAGGAAATTTTTTTTAAAGTAGTTGTTTACCCTGTCATAACTGGGATGATTAAAGCCTGCTCTTTCCTTTGCTTAAAGTAATGGACTCCCAGTGGCTGTGGTCAGAGGTTAGAGGAAAGACTACAACCCCATTTTCTTGTGCCATTAGGCCACATCCCCACTCACTGTCTGAAGTTGGGGGCCTGGGGATTGACATTGCTCTCCCAGGGCTGCCAGCTCTGAGGTCTGCTGAGAGGCTCAGCCATGTAGTCTCAGACTTTCCCCTTTCTCTGTTACAGTTCCTACAATTGACGGGCTACGCCACGTGGTGGTGCCTGGGAGGCTGTGCCCACAATTTCTCCAGTTAGCCAGTGCCAACACTGCCCGGGGAGTAGAGACATGTGGAATTCTCTGTGGAAAACTGGTAAAAAAAAAACAATTTCTGAGCTGAGACTGTTTCTTCCCCCTGGCCTCCTCTGACTCTCAGGGAAGATAGCCAGGGTCGGGTGCTCTCTGCCCTGATACCCCTGCTCATTGGACCATAGACTGCATAATATGGTGTCACTCTGAATCTGGTGATCCTGAATTGGATTGATTTTCAGATTCCCTTGAATTGAACTGATTATTCTAATGCTAATAGTAAGAAATACCTAACTCTAAACTTGGTAGACAGATACAGTGAATACCTACATACAGTTTTTGGAGCACCTACTCTATGGTGGTGGTGGTGGGGGTTGTAGTAGTACCTGGGAATCACTTTGAGAGAGGGGAGATATACAGCAAAAAATGAATAGCCTGATGAGTTGTATATACAGTATAAGCACTAGGAATTGAGAAGAAGGAGTGATCTGATTTGAGGCACTTAAGGAGCCCATTAGGGAGCCCTGGTGGTGCCGTGGTGAAGCGCTTGCCTGCTGACTGAAGGGCCGGCTGTTTGACCCCGCCAGCTACTCCAGAGGAGAAAGACGTGGTAGACCGCTTCCGTAGATTGTTGTTGTTGTTGTTAGGTGCCGCTGAGTAAGTTCCAACTCATAGTGACCCTGTGTAGAATACAATGAAACACTGCCTGGTCCTGCACCATCCTCACAATCATTGCTGTGCTTGAGCCCGTCATTGCAGCCACGGTGTCATTCCACCTCATTAAGGGTCTTCCTCTCTTTTGCTGACCCTCTCCTTTACCAAGCATGATGTCCTTCTCCAGGAACTGGTCCGTCCTGATAACATGTTCAAAGTACATGAGATGAAGTCTTGCCATCCTTGCTTCTAAGGAGCATTTTGGCTGTACTTTTTCCAAGACAGATTTGTTTCTTCATCTGGCAGTCCATGGTATATTCAGTATTCTTTGCCAACACCATAATTCAAAGGTGTCAATTCTTCTTCAATCTTCCTTATTCATTGTCCAGCTTTCACACGTGTATGAACCGATTGAAAATGCTGTGGCTTGAGTCAGGCGCACCTTAGTCCTCAAAGTGACATTTTTGCTTTTTAACAGTTTAAAGAGGTATTTTGCAGCAGATTTGCCCAATGCAATACGTCGTTTGATTTCTTGACTGCTGCCTCCATCTGCGTTGATTGTGGATCCAGGTAAAATGAAATCCTTGACAACTTCAGTCTTTTCTCCATTTATCATGATGTTGCTTATTGGTCCAGTTGTAAGGATTTTTGCTTTCTTTATATTGAGATGTAATTTATACTGAAGCATTTGAAACCCCGTGGGGCAGTTCTGCTCTATCCTCTAGGCTTGCTATGAGCTGGAATCAACTCAACGGCAGCGAGTTTGGTTTTGGTAAAGAGCCCGTTACTAACTGCTAAATAAATAAGTGACTGAGGTGAGATAGACTTAAACTGAGCCTTAAAGGATGAAAAGGGCTTAGAGAAACTGTGAAAGAGAAACTACCTTACACATGAGCAAAGGAAGAGGAATGGTACAGTACCTGCAGCTTCACAAGAACTCTGAATAGACCCATTTGGCTACAGCAGAAAACTCCCACGAGGCAGTGGTGTTTAACCCAGGCTGTGCATCAGATGGAGTTCTAGGGTAGGCTCAGCATTGGTCTCTTTACAGAACACTCCAAGCACTGCTCATGAGCAGGGGCTCAGGGAGCACTAAGAAGGAGCCTCTTGTTGATGGGGAAGGACCTTCTCTGGTATAAATGTTTAGCTTCCATTGTTATGACATGGTTGGTTTGCAAAAGTGCCATGGATTTGTGATTAGCTGTTTTCTTCTTTGGCAGATGAGGAATGAATTTACCATTACCCACGTTCTTATCCCCAAGCAAAGTGCTGGGTCTGATTATTGCAACACAGAGAACGAAGAAGAACTCTTCCTCATACAGGACCAGCAGGGTCTCATCACACTGGGCTGGATTCATGTAAGCAATTCTGAGCTCTCTGAGGGTTAGTCTCTTCTTCTCTCATGATGTTGTAAATACACCGTTTTTTCTTTGAACAAAGTAAATTGCATCCAGATTATTTTTCCCCCTTTGGATGTAGTCCCTAGCATACTTGACTGCTTGCATTCCGGGGCTGATTTATGGGAACTACATAGGGCTTTTTAATTTTCCAATCTAGTTCTCCTAAAGTCCCAGTTTCCCTGTGAGTGTGAATGGTGGTAGGACATTGGCCTGGAATGTACATGGACATTGATGATATAGGCTGTGCCTACTTTATACAAATGATTTTCCTAAAGGCGTATAAGCAAAAGTATTTTAAATAAACCAAGGAAGCTAATTCAGATGCTTGCACTTGGCCTTTCTTACAGTAGCATAGATCTTTATATAAACCAGAAGGGCCATAGTGGATATGACGTAGAAGTGTCCACATATCTTATACAGTTTTATGATAATGTTCCCATGAAATATAATTCCTCTTCTAAAGATTATTTCTTAGTTTTCCTTTCTGTTCCTTTTCAACCTCTGACTCTCACAGACCAAGCTGCTGTTTATGTTGTATGACAAAGTTACATACAAACAAGTTGGACTTTGTTTACAGATTTGGGAAGGAGATTACAAATACTTGTAGGTCATAATTTGGAAAATACTGACCTGTGAGACAGTTCCATGTGCCTTCTGTCCTTTCTTCAAGACAGAGACAGTCTAATTCCATAAATATTTACTGACTTGTCTACTATTGTGTATCCCTCATTGTAGTAAATGGGAGATGGAAAATTTGTTTCTTTTCTACTGGGGATACAAATTTGAGATATGATTTTAGTCTCATATAGGATATTAGATAAGTAGACAGCTAATAACTTGTAATGTGAGGCAGAATGTGTTAAGTGCCTCAAGAGGTACAAACAAAGTACTGTGGAAATCAGAAAAGAGAGAGATCATACCTGGTTTTTAGGGAATTCTAGAAACATTCTATGAAAGAAGTGATCATTTAGATAGGTCCTAAAAGGAAGATATGGTTTTGACAAATAGTGATGGAACAAGAGAGAATTCTCTGTGGAGGGGACAGCATAGGGAACAGGTAGCCTGTGTTTCTGGAACTTGAGTGGTCCAGTTTTCTGGGGTTTATGGTTTGTATGAGGAAACAGTGATAGGTAAGTTTTAACACAACACATTGAAGCTGTGCCTTGGAGGGTCTTGAATGGATAGGCAGAAAGTTCTGGTTTTTACTAAGTGGAGAACTCTTAAAGGTTTTTGAGCAGAGCAATGATATGATCAAAGCCATACTTTAGAAAATTAAACATAAAGGCAGTTTTAAGATAGATTGGGGCAAGGAGATGATTTAAGAGTTTAGTGTGGTGAGAAAGTCTAATAATAATGAGAGCCAGGGTGGTGACAGTACTTTTGGGAAGGAAGAGGTGCATGTAAGAGTCATTTCAGAGGAGATGGGGAATGAGTAAGGGAGGAGTCATTGCTGAGTCAGAGATTTCAGGCTGGCTCATGGGGGTGGCAGTAATCATCCCATAGCCAGAAATAGGGAATCCAAGAGGAGGACTTATGTTGAAAGAGGAGCATTGGTGTGTTCATTCTGAGCATGTTGCATTTATGGTACTGGTGAGACATCAGATTGGTAGAGGCATTTATCAGGTAGTTGGACATGTGAGGCTGGAACTTGGGAGCAAGGTCAAGGCAGGAGAGAGAGATCTGGGAGTTGTCTGCATAGAGCTGACCTTGGAAGCCTTGGGAGGTGGTAACAGTGAAGAGCAAGAAGACATTCACAGGCGACTTGGTGAACAAGCTGTGTAAGGGAGCATAGAGAGCAGTCAGAAATGAAGCAAGAGATGTAAGAGAACAGTGAGGGTAGTGTTAAGGCACAGAAGCCAAAGGAGGTGAAAAGTTTTAAGAACGAATTTCAGGATGTTACCCATGTCACCTGCAGCAGAGAGCTCCAGACTTAGATCAGCCAGTTGGATTTGGTGAGGTCATTGATGACCTCAGTTTGGTGGGTGTTAAGCAGTGGTGGGAGTAGTTACCAGATTGTAAGGGTTCAAGAGGTACTGAGGTCTTGAGGTTGTGGCATGAGTGAAATGTATACTACTTTTTAGGAGCTTAGCTAAAGCAGAAAGAGAAATGATGAGATGGGGGCTTAAGGAGTAGCAGGGTCAAGAGAATGTTTGCTTGGTTAATTACTTAGTGTAGAAAGGCTTAAATGTGTTTTGTTTTGATTTGTTTTTTTCAAAACCTTTTTATTCTGAAATACAACACTTATTTTAAAAAGTACATAAATATCTTAATGAATCATTAAGCAAAAATCTGTGCATACACACTAACTAGGTCAAGATATAGAACCTGACCAGAAGCATGTCCCTCACCCCGAGGCCCTCCTAGACACGCTCCCTCCTCAATAAAGTTCATCCTGCTCCTGACTTTTAAGGTGGTCCCTTTCTTGCTTTGCTGAATTTTCACCCCCTAAGCGTGTATCCCTAAACACTATAGTTTAGTTTTGCCTTGTTTTGAACTTTATATAAATGAAGTTACATAAAGCATATTCTTTTCTGTCTTGCTGCTTTTGCACAAGATTTTTAATGTTTATCCATGTTGTGTGTAGTTGTCTGAACATGTTTTTGTGCCAGAGGAGCTGGTGGAGTTGTAAGAAAGGAGAAACAAGGTAATGTGGAGACAAGAAAGCATTAAATCAAAAGTACAAAATGTAGGGTTCAACTTCATAGGCAGGAGAAACTTATTCCTCCAAGACAGGATCAAAGGAAGAGAGATGAAGATACAGAGAGATTTCTGAGATGATGTTTGGAGATGTTGAGAGAACTCATTTTAAACGATCTTGATTTCAATAAGGTTGGAGTCTAGGTCTGCCCCTGAGCAGGAGGGAGACAGGTAGGTTTAGGAACTGGAGGAGATCATCTTTATGATCAGTTGGAAATTATGAGTCCCTTCATATACTTGTCCAAAATGCTGGAAAGGAAGTTCATTACTGATTTTGAGCTGCTGACATGCCCCCCATGACTGCAGATGGCTTTGTACTTGAAAAGGAGATTGTGGCCAGCTGTTGAGAGGTATTTGGCTCTCCCTTTCTTCATGACTGTGCTTGGCTGTGTCTTCCTACTGAGGGTTCTCTGACTTTCTCTTCTCAGACTCACCCCACACAGACTGCCTTTCTCTCCAGTGTTGACCTACACACTCACTGTTCCTACCAGATGATGCTGCCAGAGTCCATAGCCATTGTCTGCTCCCCCAAGTTCCAAGAGTGAGTATGGGGATCCGGGCTGGGCGTTACAAGGAGGTAGTGGGGAAGGCAGAGGAAAGGTCTCTGCTCCTGAGTTAACAGGGCCCTTCCCTCTTTGTTCCCTAGAAAGGATATAGATTGTGGTATTTATTTGCTCTTCTAATAAGCCCATATCCTTATAAACCTACTATGCTTGTTTAGAAAGATATCCAAGCAACAACTTACATTGTGCTTTTCTAAGAAAAATCCACAAGAAATGTCAAATGCTTGACTCAAAGTGATAGAAATTTCTAGAGAGTGATGTCAGGTTCGAGAATTCCAAAATCAAGCAGATTGTCTCAGAGTGTTACTTTTTTTTCATTCCAAATCCTGTCATTTACTATGAATTCTCCCAGCAGAACCAGAGTGGGGGCGGTGATGAATCATTCTCTAACTCTGATTGGTTCACCAGAGAAGAGACCTATGAGCCAACATCCTGTACCTATTAGGCAATCATTCTCCATTCTATAAAAGTTTTATTGATGATTAGAAAAAACCATTGCTATGGAGTCAATTCCGACTCATAGTGATCCTAGAGGATAGAGTAGAACTGCTCCATAGGGTTTCCAAGGAGCGGCTGATGGGTTCGAACTGCTGACCTTTTGGTTAGCAGCTGAGGTGTTAACCACTAAGATCCTATATTTCAGTGATGTGTTATGGCTGCCCCTCACATATAATGAGTTATTAGCCTTGCTTTACTCCATGCTGGCCAGACCTCCATGTTATCCATTTTGAGATCAGAAAAAAGTGACCAGTCTGCAAAAAGGTCTCAGAACTTTGAAGCTGTCTCAAAATGAGCTCTGCATTGTGGACCAGAGCCAGATTTCTGGGGTGCGTGTGTGTGTGTTGGTGTGTGTTAGGGATAGGAGGACACCTTTACTTGACTCTGGCCTGCATTTTCTTTTCAGAACTGGATTCTTTAAACTAACAGACCATGGACTAGAGGAAATTTCTTCCTGTCGCCAGAAAGGATTTCATCCACACAGCAAGGATCCACCTCTATTCTGTGTGAGTATTTGTATGGAGGAAATTGGGGCTGTTTCCAGCAGGGAGGACAGTCAGACCTGATGAGGTGCATCATCCTCTCTGACCTGCGTAGAAGATCAGCCCTATGTCACTTACATTTCCACTTACCACTTATCTTCAAGATTAGCCCTGGCCACTTTTCACTTGTCAGGTTATTGAGAGAATTAAAGTAATGTGCAGAAAGTCCCTAGCACACTACCTGGTTTATGAAATGTCAGTTTCAGCATCAACATCAGTTGCTAAGTGTGTACTTCAATAAGAGATTTGAATGCAAAGGGAAAAGCTACTTAAGATAGGTAAAGCTTAGCTGAAAAAGAAATGAAGTACTGATAACGTGCTGCAGTGTGAATGAACCTCGACAACATTGTTAAGTGAAAGAAGCCAGATACAAGAGGTTACATATTGTATGTCTCCATTTATATGAAACATCCAGAATAGGTAAATCCATACAAACAGAATGCAGACTAGTGATTGCCAGGAACGGGGGGAGGGGAGGATGGGGAGTGATTGCCTAATGGGCACAGAATTTCCTTTTGGAGATGACAAAAAAGTTTTGGAACTAGATAGAGATGGTGGTTGCACGACATGGTGAATGTACCAAATGCCACTGAATTGAACACTTTAAAATGGTTAATTTTATCTTATGTGAATCTTACCTCAATAATAAAAAGGGATAGGTAAAGCATATTTGATTCTAGAATTTTGCTTAGATAAAAGGCATTCTGTGACCTTTCTAGGAAGTTTTTTTTTTTTTTTATGTGAGTTGTGTTCTGTGAATGAAAGGTTTTATTGATGTTATGATCCTGTGTTTCAATGATGTGTTATGGCTGCCTCTCCAATCTAATGAGCTAGATCTGCTTTACTCCATACTGTTCAGACCTCCTTCTCATTATCCATTTGAGTTCAGAAAAAAGTGACCGATACGGAAAAGGGTCTCAGAACCTTGTCACATAAAAGGAGCTGGGGATATTTAGGAGACAAACCCAGCGGAGGACATGAAAGCTGACTTCAGGTGGTAGAACAGTTGTGTCAGAAAGGCATTGGATGTATTTCATGATTCCAAGGACTAAAACTAAGACCTGGCAGAATAACAGTGTTCACCTCAGTGTGAGGAAGGACTTTCTGATAGATCTGTTAAAAAAAACAGTTTGGCCTGCTTTGGGATGTAATAAAATTCTAAGTTGAAATAGGATGTTGAAATAGAAGCTATACAATCAGGAAAAAAGGCTGGGATGCCAATGCCCAGGCTTTCATTTATAAAGACCCCTGCGTATGCCAGAAGTTAGCATGCCACATGTGAGAGTAACCAAACCAAAAACCAGTTGCCATCGAGTCAATTCTGACCCGTAGCGACCCTATAGGACAGAGTAGAACTAGAACTGCCCCATACGGTTTCCAAGGAGCAGCTAGTGGATTCGAACTGCTGACCGTTTGGTTAGCAGCCGACCTCCTATGTGCCACCAGGGCTCCTATGTGAGAGTAGGTGTATTTTATTATCTGTTGATTGATATAATGACCAAAAAACCACCAGGAATTCAGCAGTTCTTTTCAATAAATGTATACTTTACGAATGACTCTAGAACATACATACATTTGAAAATGACCAGATATATGGGCAGACACTGATTGAGCTACAGGTAGGGACTGGTGGAAGTGTGTATGTTCAGTCCCCTTACAATAACTTTGTGGCTTTCAGGAGTCTGGCTTCCAGACTGGGTCCCATTGGCCTAGTATGAGCATTTTAAATAAGGAGTTTTTAAAAATGACTTTTTGTCATTTTTCAAGGGCTTCACATTTCTTCCTCTTTCCCTGTTACAGAGCTGCAGCCACGTGACAGTTGTGGACAGAGCGGTGACCATCACAGACCTTCGATGAGATTTTGACCAAACACCTTCCCAGAACTCTAACACCATATCAGTGTACTGTACCCCCTTAATTTAAAATTTCCAGGAAGCTTTGGAAGCTTTCTTAGACAGAAAAGAAAGCGGACATCACCAGGGAGAGCTGATTTTCTATTTCTGATTTGAAAGAAATCACTGAATATATTTTTTAGGCAAATCTGGGGAAAAAAGCATGAATTATCTTAAAGCAGCTTTTCAGTCTGCCCGAAACTCAGATTTCAAAAGCTAAGAAAACTTGAAAGAATGGTATAATGAACGCCCATATACCCTTTATTTTAGAGTTACCGATTGCTAACATTTTTTCCTCTCAGCTATTCTGATTTCTCTGCCAGATTGTTTATTATTTACCTTCCGACTAAATAAGGGCATCTATGCAGGAATTTGGAAGCCATCTAGAAAATCTTTTGGGTTTCCCTGTGGTTTATGGCAATATTAGCAGAGCTCATTACAAGGGTAAGGGAGATTGACAGCTCTGAGCAGATGGTGAGGCTTGCAAACCCTGAAAAAATATTTTGTCAGGAAGTATTATTATTTAACATATAATTCAGGATATTTTTCCTCTACAATAAAATAACAATTGACTTAATTTTTGTGTGTGTCCTCTAAAGTGATCACTTGGATCAAGCATTGAATAAACAGGTTAAATACAAGATCTGGTTGTTTTAGGAAAGGTGAGGGAGAAATGGAGAATTTGAGCTCTACTGACATTGAAGGTGTGGCCCAGTTCTCTTAATTATTCAATGTTTTTTCTCTGCCTGTTGCCATCTTCCAGGGGTGTGAAGTCATCTCTGTTCTCCTGGTGCTGTCTCAAGTGGGTCATCCTGTTCACTTCTTCCTTAGGCCCTAAAAGCTTTCAGCTCAGGATAATGTAGCTTTTATTTGGAGTGCCAAGTTACACTCCAGATAACTGAGTACATTCCCTAGTCACCCTACTTCGTTTTGTTTTGTTGGCTTTTCTTTTCTGACATAGGCACCTCCCGGCAGGGTGTTTGAAGCTGCAATTGAGTCTACATTTTTCTTTGTATGAGTTGAGCCTAGAAATAATGGTGGTGTGTGTGACCCCTCCGGTGGAGGCAGGAGAGTAAATACATTGGGTAGGAGAAGAATGAAGGTTTCTTACTATATCAAAATTCTGTGGGGAAAAAAATCTGTGAATGCATAAAGTTTTGCTTCGTTTAAAAATTTTATGTCCTGAATCTGTTTGGACTTTATTGCTAAAGTTAATGGTCCTCGAACTTTCCCCCCTAAAAACCTACCCTTCTGTATTCTTTTTCTTCTCTTAGGTTCTTAACTCCCAAGATATCAGAAATTCTTTCTTCTGTAGTTATTGTTGTAGGTTGGAATGTGGGCCCACATGGGTTTGGGCACTGGGGAAGAACGCCTCCCCAATCACTTCCCTTTTTTTCCTGCTGTTGCCCCAGAGTCAGCCGGACTGTTCCACCTTACCCCAAACAGTCCAGAATTGTCCAGTCCTGTACTTTCCTGGAAATCCATCCAGTTCTTCCCATTCCCAAGGCCACCACTTTGTTGAGGACTTTATTACCTCTTACTTGGACTATTGCGGTAGCTGTTTACCATGTCCTTTTTGTTGCCAGTCTTTCTTCATTCCAGTCCGTTCTGTACAGCACAATCCGAAGAAGCTTCCCCACGTTATAGCCATCATTCTGTTTCCTCTCTTGCTCAAAAACCTGCAGTAGATTCCCATCACCTAAAATCTAAATTTAGCCTTTACTCAGAACTTTAACGTATGGCCACATAAAGTTCTTACCCTTGGCTGCACAAATCATCCCCTGGGGAACTTTTTAAAAATACTGATGCCTATGCCCCAACTCCACCAATTAAATCAGATTCTAGGGTGGAGCTCCAGGCATCATTTTGTTTTGTTTTTTGCTCAGATGATTCTCAAGTCAGCCACGGTTGCAAACCACTGCATCAGTCCCTTACACCTAAGTGTCATGAGCTCTGTTTTCAATCTCTTATGTACATCGTAGAGATTCAGCAAATGGTTGTTGAACCAAAGTGAACAGAATGTATCATGCATTGCAAGTGCATTGATCACTTACTGTTCACCAAACTGCCATATTTTCTTGCCTTTGCTCCTGTGCACAAGAATCTTAGTGGCTAGGTGGTTGCAGGAAATCAGCCTTCAGATGCCCTCTTTGCACCTGCTGTGGCATAGCCACCACTCGCAGAGGTACTTTACATAGGATTGTTTCAGGGTCTCTCTCTTCACCCTACCTTTGTGGGAGAGACGTGGTATTGAGCCAGCCCACAAGGAAGCAGAGAGACTGGGTGATAGGCCAGTGGGAGAGGAAAGGAGTGAAGGAGCCAGAGTTGCAGGAAAAGGACGAAAGGAGTATTGTGAATAAAAAGGAATCAAATCATGAAACCTGAGAAGAGAAGCTTTTATTGAAAAGGTAGCAACTACTCAGCTTTAGAGATTGACACCTGGGCTCCTGAGTTTCACAAATACCACGCTGCTGGTCCGGCCTGAGAGGAGAGGCAACATCTGATTGCATCCCAGCTGGCCTCAGAAGTACTCAACCCTCCAAAGTGTCGTGGGCCAGGAGAAGCTGCTTTGCTGGGGACCATGGCAGGGCTGGGTTTTTCCAAATGATCACTTTCACATACTCCAAGTTAAATGAGACCAAAGAGGAAGAAGAAACCACTCAAGCCTTTATAATGCTCTCGTGGGTATGAGACACTTAAAAGGCAGCACTGGGAGAAGCATTCCCTACTGGGTCTAATGCTGTGGGAGGTGTTTTTTGCTTGAGAAGCAAAGGGTTTCAACTTAAATTCTTGTACCCCAAAATTTAAAATTGTTTAAATACTTACCCTCTTTGTTTATTGCTGCTTTTGAATTTCATTTTCCCCTGTGAAAGGAGAAATTCTTCATTTGGGTGTTGAGAGAGATGGAGACTTCCGAGAGCAAAGTATAAATGAAGTCACGGCCTTGTGAATCCTACAACTTTGCTTTGTTTCAAATGGATTTTGGGAACACAGTTTTAGAACCAGACTAGATGTTGTTCCCTAGAAAGTTGTTTAAGTCACCTGTTGGTATTGTGCCCCCACCCTCTAGTATTTCAGTGTTTTAACCCCACCTGCATTTGGAGATGGGTTTGTCCAAGGGTCTTTCAGGCCTCTGAGCCCAGAATGGGACTTCTGAGTCAAGGCTCATTTCTTTGTGAGGAGCTTTGCTTGGGGCACTGTTCACATCAGGACCATTGGAATATTATCCTCTCAAGAGACAAGTCAGTAGAATGAAAAAAGTGCCAGGTTGGACACCTGAATGAAGACTTTGCTTCTAGGTCCAGCTGTTCATTCACCGGCATATCATTTAACTTCCTAAACGTCTTTAAAATCTGTAAAATGAGATTTGTCTAATATGCCTACATCAGATGAGAACAGGGTGAAATCATTGTGCACATGAGGGCTTTGAGATTTGTAAGATTTAAAGTATTTGTTATTTGTATCTCTTGAAATGTTAGATTTGAGGTGCTATTGTTTCCATCTACTGGGTAGAGACCCTATTCAGCTTCCAGCCAGAGGACTCTTTCAGCAGATCCACATTCTTTATTACTGTCTCCAAGTCTTTGTCTGGTCTGCCCTGGTGTCCAGAGCTGGAAAACAGAATCTCAGGAACCACAGGAACCATTCCAAATTTTTACCCATTTCTAGTAAGACACAGAGCAGGGCCAGGACCTAAACAGATTGCACCATCTCTTTTTCCCTTTAGTTTCACCTCACTGATGTTTGAACTTTCCACTTTCGTTGTTTCAGCTACTTTTTTTTTTAATTCACATTTTTTTGTGGTAAAATATTTATAACAAAATATTTGCCATTTCAACCATTTTTGTACGTACAATTCAGTAACATTAATTACATTCACCGTGATGTTGTAAAACCATCACCATCAACTATTTGTTTAGGTGAAAGAAGAGGATGCGAACATGGAAGTCTTAAATCTTCACTCCTTAATCCAGGGATCAATTTATACTTACCCTTAGCTTACTTGGAGTTAGAAGCAGGGCCTTAGGCTTATAGGGTGTGTCCAGCATCATTCACTGTGCCCATCACCTCCAGGGTCCAGCCCTGTGCCACTGTATAACCATGGGCCCTTGTGTCCTTTGGTGATCAAACTTGCTTCCTTTAGGGCTTGGCTCAAGTTCTACCTCTAGTGTCTTCTCTCACTGGGTTAGTTCACTCTGAGTGTTCCCTTCTTTGAACTCCAATGGCATTTATAGCCTATTTCACACAATTTGGCATGTAGTTACCTGCTGTTTTGCAGTGTTTTCTTATTGTCCTCTTGGTGAGTCACGTTTCTGAACTATCGTGTAAGCTCTGTTAGACTAGAGACCATGTTTGCTTTATAGCGCTGTGTTTAGTGCCTTTCAGTCAGTATAACACTTCCTTACTTTCTTCTTGCTTAGCCCTTTCTTGAAATAGTGTCTTTGGTGTTGAATCACATGTGTTACAGATCTAGATGGACCTGCACCCCAGCCTTGAGAACCTCTACCCCATATTGTGGGAAACTATCTTTAACTTCTTGACTCGTAAATCATATCTTGGGCTTATGCTCCACACAAGTGTGACTTTGTGTTAATTAAAGATCTGACTATCAGGAGGTAGTGGTCAAGAACTCTCAACAAAGGGAGTCAGCAGTTTAGTGCTCCATCCAGTGCCATTGCAAATGGTTGTCCTGTCCAGCAGATACGTTTGTTGTTGTTGTTGTTGTTAGGTGCCGTCGAGTCAGTTCTGACTCATAGTGACCCCATGTACAACAGAACAAAACACTGCCCCATCCTGCACCATCCTCACAGTCATTGCTATGTTTGAGCCCACTGTTGTAGCCACTATGTCAGTCCATCTCATTGAAGGACTTCCTCTTTTTTGCTGACCTTCTACTTTACCAAGCATGATGTCCTTCTCCAGGGACTGGTCCCTCCTGATAATGTGTCCAAAGTATGTGAGACAAAGTCTTGCCATCCTCACTTCTAAAGAGCATTTTGGCTGTGCTTCTTCCAAGACAGAATTATTCATTCGTTCTTCTGTCCATGGCGTATTCAATATTCTTCGCTAACACGATAATTGAAAGACATCAATTCTTCTTTGGTCTTCCTTATTCATTGTCTGACTTTCGCATGCAGATGAGGCAATTGAAAATACCATGGCTTGGGTCAGGTGCACCTTTGTCCTCAACAAATCTTTGCTTTTTAACACTTTAAAGAGGTCTTTTGCAGCAGATTTGCCCAGTGCAGTACCTTGGTTGATTTCTGACTGCTGCTTCCATGGGTGTTGGTTGTGGGTCCAAGTAAAATGAAATCCTTGACAAAGTCAATCTTTTCTCCATTTATCATGATGTTGCTTATTGGTCCAGTTGTGAGGATTTTTGTTTTCTTTATGTTGAGGTATAATTCATACTGAAGGCTGTAGTCTTTGATCTTCATCAGTAAGTGAAACTTGGCTCTTGAACATCAAGTAGCTAAAGCAAATGGAAAAATGATCAAGTGAAGGGCTGAACAGAAGATTTCAAAGGGCAGCTCAAGACGACAGAGTAAAATATTATAATAACATGTGCAAAGACCT